GATAGATAGATAGATAGATAGATAGATAGATAGATAGATAGATAGATGATAGATATTCTTAAGTTTTCATGGGTATTTATATGTATGGTTCGAGTATTTTCCCACATCATTATAGTTGTGCTTTTAAAGTTGTAGCAACGTTTCGGCAGAATCTCATCTGCCATCCTCAGGCTTCTGTATTGTGTTCGTCTGTTTAATCTTGTGTGTCAGTCTTAGCAGCTGTTTTTTGTTAAGCTGCTAAGACTGACACACAAGATTAAAAAGAACCCAATACACAAGCCTGAGGATGGCAGATGAGATTCTGCCGAAACATCGCTATAATAAAAGCACAAATATTAAGACGTGGGAAAATACCCAAAGAAACCTAAATACCATACATATAAATACCCGCGAAAACATAGATAGATAGATAGATAGATAGATAGATAGATAGATAGATAGATAGATAGATAGATATTACCTAGATTAGGTAATGAAATGTCAGCAAGAAAGCAACTAGACTCAGAGAGCACCTCATACTTTCTTGAATTACAAGCAGTCCTCAAGTTACAACCATAATGAAGCCTGCTGTCGTAACTTTGATGCTTGTAAATCAGGTTATCCATGTGTCCTACCTGGTTTAATGACCTTTTTTGTGTGTTTGTGTGGCGGTCATTAAGCAAACCAGTGGTTCCTATGGGCTGGTTTTGCTGAAAACCAGAAGTAAATGCAGCCTTTTGGCAACACTGCTGTAAAATGTGATCATGTGACTGCAGGACTCTGCCAATGGCAGAGTGCCCAGAGTGGAGTCACATGACCTGGGAGGGGAGGCGGCCATTAAAATTTCAAAATGGGGTCATAGGTGCCCCCAGGAAGGGCTAGCAGAGCTTTGAATAGTCATTAAGTGACCAGTCATAATTCATGGGCTACTTTAATATACAGGTAGTTCTCCGACTTACAGTGGTTCATTTAGTGACCATCTGAAGTTATAGCAGCACTGAAAAAAGTGACTCATGACCGTTTTCCACACTTGCAACCATTGCAGCATCCCCATGGTCACGTGATCAAAATTCAGACGCTTGGCAATGGACTCATATTTATGATGGTTGCAGTGATCCCCTTTTGCGACCGTCTGACAAGCAAAGTTTGTGGGGAAGCCAGATTCATTTAACAACCCTATTACTAACTTAACAACTTCAGGGATTCACTTAAGAACTGTGGCAAAACAAGATAAAATGGGGCAAAACTCACTTTAACAACGGTCTCACTTAGCAACAGAAATTTTGGGCTCAATCTCCTCATAAGTCGAGGACGACCTGTAATAACTTTTTATTTTTTTTATTTTTTAGAAAATGTGATTTCTAATGTATTTATTTATTTTATGTGATTTCTAAGTGACATTTAAGGGTTCTCTCTTTGACAGAAGGACATGACTTCGCGGATGTGCCACTGACATCTTGGGAATTGGTCTGCCATCTTTCAAGCCAAATGCCCTCCGGATTGGAGATCATTCCTGCCCAACACCACACAGAAGACCTTAAGATCCAGAGGGACTTCCATTTTATACATCTTTTTATTTTTTTATTTTTTTTAAAAGAGCTTTCAGAAGCTCTTCTAATGAATTTTTTTGTAAAATCACACGATTGTTGGATGATTGAAATATGTATGTTTGTTTAAGAAGGAAAGGACCACTGGGAAATGTAAGGCATCCTTTAAATCTCCATGTCTTTCTTCTCACATCGTATAACGGTGGGGGGTGGGGGGCTGATTTGGAAGTGTTATTTTGAGGTTTCCTGCCAAAATCACACCTGGACTTCAGAAGACAACTTCTATTGCATCAAGGGAGTGACTGACTTAAATGAGGAGAAATCCACAGACACCTATAAGTAGTTTAGGAGTTTGCTTAGGCCATTATTTGGAATCACCTGTGTTGCAAAAAAAATAAAAAATAAAGTTTTAGCACTTCTTTCACTTGAAATCTCCTGTTGGCATATGTATGTAGCGGCTCTGTTTCCTGTTCTCCCAAGTAGAGGAAGGAAATTATCTCGTGGCAATTTAACTTTTCTCTTTGGGGTCATGCACAGTGAGCCAAACTATGCTTTGGAACTTGGAATTTATGAACTGCAAATGCCTCCCCTGGTTTACAAGTAGTCCTCTCCTTAAGACCAAAATTGGGGCTTGAAGTTCCATTGTTAAGTGTGGTTGTTAAGTGAGCTGTGCCCGATTTTACAGGTCATTAAGTGAATTCTGCTTCCTCCATTGGTTTTGCTTATCAGAAAGCCCCTGGGAAGGTGTTAAAGGATGTCTGTGAACATTCTCTGTAAACCAAGTCATAATTGTTTCAAAAGGTGCTTTTTTTCCTTTCAAAAGGCAACTGGACTATTGGTTTTTTTTAGGAAGAAGAGGGAGACCATTTTGCTTCTTATCCAAGAAGCTTATCCATTATAATAACTGATACTGGTTATATCACTTATAACTGGTGAAGCTTATAACTTCCTTTTCTTCCTCAAATAAAATTGTCCAGTGGCCTTTTGAAAGGGAAAAAAAAGCACCTTTGAGTAGCAAATGAGGATCACGTTGGGATGCTGCAACTCTTAAGTAGTTGCCAAATGCTCAAATTTTGATCACATGACCACGAAGACGCTGCATTGGTCATAAATGTGAGAACCAGTTGTAAGACATTTTTATCAGCACTGCTGAAACAAATGAATGTAAGTTGAGGACTATCAGTATATGGGAGTTTTCCGATTTTCTGTCTATCCCCTCTTTTTTTTGTGTGTGTGTGGGGGGGGGGGGGGGCTACATGTCCAGAAAATAATTTTTAAAAAATTGGAAATGATGTGCAATTACTTTAGTTAAAACTCTAGTTTGTATGGTGGACTCCACCCAACCTTTGCTTCAAAGATCTCCAGTGAAAGGGTTCATTGCCTTCCAAGGCATCTCGGTGCCCTTTGGAAGTTTAGGTTGCTCTTAGTGCTTCCTCAAAATTTACTTCCTTACCAGTCCCCCCACATCCCAGCTCTGATTGTGGGTGTCTGCAAGGAGGAGAGGAGCAACAGACGATAGACGGGTCATTAATCATCATCTTTTAACGACCCCATAATCCCTTGCAGGGTAAAGTCTGGGCAACTGAATGGAGCTAGCAGAGTGTTTAATGTCCAGATGCCCTTCCTGTCACCAATGTGGAGTTTTGCTCAGCAGATATATACTCATTGTGCCCAGAGAGAGAAATTTCTGCCTCTACCTAGGATTGAACTCACAGCCTCCTGATTGTGAGGCAAGAGCTCCACCTCTAGGCCATTGCGCCACTCATAGCTAGGTCATTAATGTCTACAGAAACGGCATGACTTAACTTGCCATCGTCTCAGTATATTAATTTGCATAATGAGGTCATGATGACATACCATGTTGAAGTGTTCCCCGGTTGTTACAGATTCTGCCGCCCATGATTTGATTCCATTTGCCTCTGCCTGTCTACATGCAGTACAAGTGCACTAACATAGTTCGACATACAACGGAAATTCCAAGCTCCATTACGGTTGTAAGCCGAGGACTAACTGCAGTAGTTCTAAATTGCAGCGACCTGGATTTCATCTAAACTTCCTAGTGATAAGATTCATAACAACAGTGAACCGATTTAAAATTTGTGGATGTTGACATTGGAAGTGGAGCTTCCAGCTATTTTTGAGGATTGTTTTGCACACTGCAGGGGGAACGATTCGATGAGCCGGCTGCTGCTGCTTTCCAATTCACATTTCTATGAACCTTTCAGGTTCATTCCTGAATTGAGATGTTAGACCTGGAGTCAGGGTTTTGTTTGTTTTTTAAAAGCAACCATAGCCAAGCGAGATAGTTGTTAAGTGAGTTTTGCCCCTTTTTAAACCTTTGTTGCCACAGTTGTTAAGTGTCGCTGCAGTTATTAAGTTACTAAAATGGTTGTTAAATTAATCTGGTTTCCCAGAATTAGAAGAAGAAATCGTAAAAGGAAATATGATCGCTTGGAGTAGGAATGTAGGGCGCAGCATCACATTAGCGGAATGGGAGAAAGTTTGGGGTAGAAATAATATCACCAAATCAGCAGCATATAAGGAAAATCTTTATAAAATGTTTTATAGATGGCACTCCCCCCTTCGAGGTTAGCGAAGATGCACCCTAACATGAGTCCGTATTGCTGGAAGTGTAGGAAAAAAGAAGGAACCTTTTTCCATATGTGGTGGTCTTGTACAGAAACCCAAAAGTACTGGAAGAAAATCAAAACTTGGTTGGAAGAAATTACAAAAAAGCAGATCGAATACAAACCAGAGTCCTTCCTGCTAGGGATTTTTGATAAACAAATTTCCAAAAAAGCTAAATATATAACAATACACATTCTAACAGCGGCCAGATTAGCTTTCGCTCAACACTGGAAACAACATCAAATTCCATCAGATGAAATGATTATCGAAAAAATTTCAAAATGTGCAGAAATGGATAAACTGACTTTGGCGCTAAAAAACAAAGACACTTCACTATATTATGATAGCTGGAATTGTTGGTATAATTGGATTGACCAAAGATAAATTATATATCACAAGGCATAAGAGAAAAGTATTAATCTATAATAACGAGGTAGTGATATAAGTAAAGAACAGGTGTGTGTACATGACATAAATTAAGGTTATGAAAAAAGATCTTGCAAACTGTAAAAATAAGAATGCTTTTAACCTTCTCTTTTTCTTTTTTTTTCTTTTTTTCTTTTTCTTTCTTTCCTCTAAATTTTTCCTTCTTTTCTTTCCTTTCTCCTTTTCTTTTTTTTGTTTATTTGTGTATGTATTGTTGGTTGGTTTTAATTGTAAAAACTAATAAACTATATTTTCAAAAAAAAAAATTAATCTGGTTTCCCCATTGATTTGCTTGTCAGTGATCATATAACCCCGGGACATAAATATGAGCCACTTGCCAAGCATCCAAATTTTGATTAAATGACCACGAGGATGCTGCAAGAGTTGTGTAACTTATACCATGTTGGGAAAACAACCCAAGTTTCCTCAGATAATTGCACTGGAGGCAATCTGAATGGGCCTTGGGAGATGGCGTTTCCTTGGGTCTTTCCCCTGGAAAATCCCCTCCACTCCCTTCTCGGATTGAGGGACATTCCAGCCAGGAGTGTCCAATTTCCCATCAACGCTTCTGGGCCACTTCTGTGTGCCAGCAGCGCTTCTTTCTGGAAAGGGAGCAGCCGTAGCAATACCAGGAACAGCTTCTAGAAGGAAGTCCTTTGTAATTAACCCAATCATCAGCTGGAAATATTTTAGAAACTTGTCTTCCTAGGATTATTCTAAGGGTTTAAATCAGGGGTGTCCAACCTTGGCAACTTTAAGACTTGTGGACTTCAACTCCCAGAATTCCTCAGCCAGCTTTGCTGGCTGAGGAATTCTGGGAGTTAAAGTCCACAAGTCTTAAAGTTGCCACGGTTGGACACCCCTGGTTTAAATGCTCTTCTATTGCTCTTCATTTTGGGGAGAGTGGTAGTGAACCTGGTTTTTCTTTCCTGAGCAACCAGCATCATTTCCACGCCTGTGATCTCTGTTGGCTGAGGAACAGGGCTATACAGGTAGTCCTCAACTTACAACATAGTTTGTTTAGTGGCTGTTCAAAATTACAAGGGCACTGAAAAACGGGGCTTACGATCAGTTTTCACACTTGTGGCCATTGTGGCATCTCCATGATAAAATGTGATCAAAATTCAGTTGCTTGGCAAGTGTCTCACATTTATGACAGTTGCAGTGTCCTGGGGTCACGTGGTCGCCTTTTGCGAGCAAAGTCAATAGGGAAGCCAGATTTACTTAACCGTTGGACTAATTTAACAATTGCAGTGATTCACTCAACAACTGTGGCCAGAAAGGTCGTAAAATGGGGCAATCTCACTTAACAAATGTTTCACTTAGCAACATAAATTTTGGGCTCGATTGTGGTCATAAGTCAAGGAATACCTGTGCTGTGTTTCAACAGTTCAGTTTCATAACATCGTCTCTACTTTAAGGAGTAAGATATATTAGCCTTTGATTTATACACAGTGACTGTTCAGAGTTAGGATGGAAGTATTTTACAACCTACTTAAAACTTACTACAGATAGATCTCAAGTTGTGACCACAACTGAGCCCGAAATTTATGTTGCTAAGTGAGAAATGTGTTAAGCGAGTTTTGCGCTATTTTATGACATTTCTCGCCACATTTGTTAAGTGAATCAGTACAGTTCTTAAATTAGTAACACGGTTGTTAAGTGAATCTGGTTTCCCCATTGACTTTGCTTGTCAGAAAGTTGCAAAAGGGGATCCAGTGACTCCAGGACACTGTCCAGAGAAGAGCAACCAAGATGATTAGGGGACTGGAGGCTAAAACATATGAAGAACAGTTACAGGAACTGCGCATGGCTGGTCTAGTGAAGAGAAAGACCAGGGGAGACATGATAGCAGTCTTCCAATATTTGAGGGGCTGCCACAGAGAGGAAGGGGTCAAGCTATTTTCTAAAGCACCTGAAGGCCAGACAAGGAATAATGGATGGAAACTGAACAAGGAGAGATTCAACCTGGAAATAAGGAGAAACTTTCTGACAGTGAGAACAATCAACCCATGGAACAGACGTTGCCTTCAGAAGTTGTGGGAGCTTCATCACTTGAGACTTTTAAGAAGAGATTGGACTCCCATCTGTCAGAAATAGTGTAGGGTCTCCTGCTTGGGCAGGGGATTGGACTAGATGACCTACAAGGTCCCTTCCAACTCTGATTATCTGTTATTATTATTACCCATCATAATTATTATTATTAACCATTAGTTGTCAAGCATCCAAATATAAATCACGTGACCATGGAGATGCTACAACAGTCATAAGTGAAAAACAGCCATGAGTCACTTTTTCAGGGCCATTGTAACTTCAAAGGGCATTAAATCAACTGTTGTAAGTTGAGAGCTACCTGTACTTACAACC